GATTCCCCAATTACTAGCCGGACTTACACTGTTAGCTCTACTTATACCATTAAGGCATACTTATACCATTAAGGCATACTTATACCATTAAGGCATACAGTAAGGAAGGGAAAAAATTTTTTACTTTCTTCCCCACTAAAGAACGATTGGAAAGAGGGGTGGAATCAGTCGTCAAATGAAAATGGTGAGGAACTATCGTTAAGCACATTTTAGTTCTGGCTCCACTTGCAGTGATTTAGAATTTTTTTGAAGTCGAGAAACATGTTGAATCAACTCAGAATCCGAACCCTCCCCCGATTTGCTAACCGGACATGCTTCCAAGTACACTGCGAAGGCATGCAGTATGGATGGAGAAAAATCTTACAAAGCAAGTAGGTTACCTATCGTGTCCCAGACATGTTCTATCGGATTTAAATCCGGATAATATGCGGGTCACTCCATCCGCTGGAATCCTTCGCCCTCAAGATAATCTGTCACTAGAAAACTGTGATAGGATGAACATTATTGTCCACTGCACCCCTAAACAACTTGTCATTAACGATCACCCGGACCATACCCGAAAGTCTTTCCGGGTAAGGTCTTTAAGCCGACCGGTTGTCTGGACCCTAATCTCAACTGTTCCCGTCATAACGATCACGAACCTCATCTCTGTATATTTTGGCAGTTCATAGTTGGAATGGTGGGAATATGTAGTTCAGTGCGGACATTCGCAATGATGTCTTCGTATATCATGATTCCACCTTTGTATCAATGCCTATCATACGTATTTTCGGGCTTATAGCGTGTGTTTTGCTCCATCCAGACTGTAACAGGTCTCGAATCACTCTCAAAGAAAAAATGAGACTCACTAGTAGAGAGACCTCGACTACATTCTGTGGTATTTTATTCATGATAATCTCCGACCACTGCAACCGGCGCATTTCGCAGCCCAAATCAGTGAAGCACAAATCGTGGGTTTCTCTGCATGCAACTTTCTTGTTTACAACCTGTCGCCTGCGGTACATAGAATGTAAGCAATTCCTATAGCTGAAACGAGTTTTTTTGCAATATGGGCTGACGTCATTTATTTATTTCTAATCGTTGCCAAATGACGATCCTGAGAACTTGTTATTCATTATAACCATTTTTCACAATTCATCAACTGCCTCCTCAATGTCATGTTTAACATTCCAACGCGAAACTTTTTATCCAACTAACTCGTTTAATTCTTGAATTTACAATTTAAAACACCTCTCTGCACTCTTTTACACACATGCAAAAGAATGGTATTAAAAAATTGCACAGTTCAATGAGGCGAATGCTGAAGTTCATTTTGACTGCATAAAAACATCAACCTTGAGCTACCAACCAACCACCTGTCATTGGACTTCACTTTAATAAAATCAAAATAAGAACTTTTTTATAGTCGTTCCTTTAATCGCAACATGCATTTAATAAATCTACATCATTATTAAATATTTTGTTTTTTCAATAACTTTTCAGTTATTTTATTGCTGTTTATCACATGCTTACGAACGTACATACATGCAGACTCCAACAGTGACCAAATGGTTATGACGATTTGAATACTGGGAGGTTCAATCCCAGGCGAACGTGTTGGCTGCATAGTTGGTTTTTTTCCATACGTAATACAAAAGCCAGTTTTCGTTAGAAAGTCCTCCACGAAGGCATTCTTCCCCTTACACTGACATACCGTGTGCTTTGTCATGTGCAAATAACCTAACCTAACCTAACCCTACACATCAGGGCCGTGCCGAAAGTGCGATGCAATGAAACTATGGCTTCGGCTAAAAATATCATGCTGCTCAAAATTATAATAGAATATAATAGACACTATTAATGTAAAAAAGAATAAAAAATATTTAAACAGCGCAATTCTAACACTAGTTCCAGTTGGTACAAACCTTGAGCACAATTTTATTATAAATTACTGGTCATTTAAAATGCAATATCATGAAGAAAGCATGCAAGCAACATGAAACTTGCATCAAGTGTATACCGCGATTTAATATGCAAATGATTACGATTTCAGCGCACGCGTACATCATGAACGCTCCTTATACTCCGTATATAAAGGAAGGAAAGGTTGTCGTTATGAATAACGTGAATTGATTTCTCATGAGATTTTATTTGTACGCAGTTTTAGTGCGCCTCGTACAAAAACACAAGCATCATTCCAGCACGTTTCTGAGTTCGAATCGTTGCATACAAAGACTGTTGATTATTCTTCCGAGAAATCGGTCATTGTGTCGGATTTAGCCGAACAACAGTCATGCAAATACGAAATCGGTGGATGTAGGAAGGAAACGGTTGACGGATAGGAACAATTGCAACCGCCTTGTCACACCACTCCACGGGAAGACAAGGCGTATTTTGCCTATGGCATTGGTGAATGGCACTGCTGTATCCGTAATCATATCACAACGAATGCAGTCTGTAACACAACAATCAATGACTGCATTAACAATTCAACGTCGTTTACAGTACAACCCGCTAGGCGTCCATTGCTTCGCCTACCTTTAAACCACAGGCGTTTGCAATTGCAATTGCGCACAGAACGGTGGAGATGGACATCCGACGTGGCATGACATTGTATTTTCAGACAAATCACGTTTCTGCTTGCAGTACCATGATGATCGGATTAGAATTTGGAGACACCGTGGAGAGAGACTGCTCGACTGTTGTGTTATGCACCGTCATATCGGTCTTGTATCCGATGTTATGGTATGGGGTGGTATTCGATTCTACTCCCGTACCCCTTTAGTAGATATTATCAGTACACTTACCAACCAGCCAGCGTTATATCTCTGAGGTTTCGAAGCCTGTTCTCCTTCCTTACCTAAAGAGTTTGCTTGCTTCCACATTTCAAGAGGACAATGCGCGACCACACATTGAACGCAATGTTCAAGCTTTCTTCTTAGCCCACACATTGCATTGTTAATCTGGCCTGATCGTTCTTTAAATCTATCGCCGATCGAACACGTCTGGTCAATTGGATCGGAGAACATTTAATCCGACATGCCGCATAAGCGGGTACATCCGATGAACATTGGCTACGTGCGGAGCAACGCCTTAGTGGTGAAACTGGAAGTGCGCTCGATGCGAATTTGCCTCACTTTATTGAATATTTATGTAAACGACATTCCTAACACACCTAACATTACATTTGCAATGTATGTTGATGATGCAGCGATCTTTGCACGAAACGCATCTCTTAGTCCAGTCATTCAACATCTTCAAAGCCACATAGATGCACTAGAGGCCTGTCTTATTAAATGGAAAAATCGATGTCAACGTGGACAAGACCACTGCAGTCATGTTCACCAGATAAAAGAACATTCAACCAGCATCTAGAGTTATATGAAACAACTCTGCCGTGGGTTGTACAAGTCCCTTATCTCAGGGTGATCCTCTCTAATTCTCTGACTTGGATTCACACATACAAAACATTCTTCAGAAGTTTCGAGTTCGTAAAGCTAAATTATACCTCTTAATTGCTCGAAACAGCATTCTACCTACTGACAACAAATTACTCATTTATAAATCTATGCTATGTTATGCCTGTCCAGTCTAGGCGTATTCCTCTAAATCTGACAAAAAAAAAAAAAAAAAAAACTTCAAACATCACAGAACTGTGTTTTGAGGCAGATCTCCAAAACACCCTGGTACGTTCATATTCATGAAGAACTTGGCATTGTCCAAATAAGATATCTTTATTACCACCTTGCATGAAAATTTTATGCAAAATTGAGAACACTTAGTCATCCTCATTTCCACATCTATAATTATCTAGATGAGCAGTACAAAAAGCGGTCCACGGTCATACTTAACCCCAGGATGATAATGGAGTAATTAGTATTTAATATAATTTTATTTACAATTTTTCCATCCTCGATTTGTATCATTATTGTATGCATTCTTTTTAAATTGCGTATCACATGCACAAACTTTACCACTACGACTGCTTGTTAGCTCGATCAACTTTCTGAACAATCTCCTCCAACTAATTAATTAACATTTATAATATATATATATTTAAAAATTCAGTAATGTGAATTTATTTTATTTCTTAATGTATTATTAAGTATGTTATTTCGAAATTTTTAATCTTCGATTCAATGTAGGGCATTGCGCCCAAACACCCGATGTGTAAACAACATTCCACGTCAGCTGGTGTGGAGGCAGTATTGGGCTGCCATTCCCCAATAACACATCTAACTCAATGCCGCAGTGTGTAGCAGCGGTTACTGACAAAATCGGAGGAAACAATTATTACTGATTGTCTTCCTCTCCTGTAAAAAAGTTGTATTTTATATCAGTTAACATATACTATGTGTAATCTTGAAATACATTTGGCTTTCGTATTTCTTGGTGTTGCAATTTGGAAGGCCAGCAGTGCGTATATATATATATATATATGTAAAATAAAAAATATATAAATCAGCTTTCTAATTCAATTTAGCAATAGGCAATTCGGCATTTTTAATTTGGTTATGTCTCTTTTATTCCAAAAAAATTAATAATATTTCTGGACTGCATCATTTCTAGATCAATCTATGCCGCATGACTTGCGTAACACTGATGGCGTAGCTGATTCGGAACCTAAACTCAAAATTTCGAGACCTGAAACTTTTCTAACCTAAGACAAAACCTTCTCTGGGCTTCCATACAGCATTGTCACGCACTTAACTTCTTTGAGAGCATTTTACAAATTCGACACGATAAAAGAGTGTTCTAAGAACTGACTTATATGAAACAATCTAGGAGCTCTTAATGAATACGCGAAGAGATGAATAGCATAGGTATATGTAGAAGGCCAAACAATGATACATTTGTTTCTTTCTAATCTTGATTTTTTTTTAATCCGACTTAAAATTTTGTAGATTGTGTACATTTAGATTCAAATTAATATCACACATAGTAGTACCTCTTGACCTTATGATCAAAACAGATCTGTTGTAATAAAATAAACCTTCCACAAAATGAAAAAAAGCACAATGTATCTACATATATTTTTTATTATTTGGTTAGAACAAACATACAATAAAAATTTTTCTTATGTTAAACAACATGAAAGTGTAACAATTTTTGATAAATTTATATTTTCATAATGATACTCCAAACAGTAACATATTTTTATTTTTAACAAGTTACTAAAATGTAGTATCCTGACATTTATCTTCCTAACACATGTCGGTAAGCAATTTTGACAACAGTTGGAAGGCAAAAACAGTTAAGAATTTTAAATGCTTATCACAATATTGCAGATGTAATATAAGATGATACTACATTGCTAGTTTGTCTATGCAATCAAGCTAAAACAGGTACAGATGGAAGTGGAAATTGTCAAAACTACATACAAATATTCTTTTTTAATCAGCATGAAAATATGTTATAGCACAAAACTATTAAAACTGTATTTTGTTCAAACAAATGACATGTGCGTATGAATGATATTAAAATTCTCCACAAAAGCATACAACTTGGTTCATATTTTTTCAGAGCAATCACATGTTCAACTGAGAATGCTCTTACAATAAAAATGCATTTTAAGTACAGGCTTAAGTAGTTTTTAAAATGTTAAAATCTTAGCTAGCTTATTACAAACTTTGTTCATCTATTTCAAAACTGCTCAGGGAAAAAAAAAAAAAAAAAAAAAAAATTAAAAACTGACATACAACTGGAAATGAACTAGTTTTCAATTCTATGATCGTGATTTAAATATATCCTATCACTCAGTGGATTTGACTCAGTGGATGTAACATAAATGAGAAAAGTAAGAATAGCACAAAAGTATATAACTATGTATGCTTTTTTCTAATTCATAAATCCATTTGACAAGAAAAAAGAATCATTTAAATAAAAATACCAATATTTCTCTTTTAACAAATTAACACAAAATAATGTATGAAATCTAGAACCAATATTCTGAAAACAACACAATATCTAGGGAAGGGTGAGTATATTTATCACCACATGAAACTTTTTCTACAGCAAAGTGAAAACAAAGACCATTTGGTCGAACAAGAATATAAAAAAAGCAAACGATAAAAATTAATATAATTTAAAATTTAGAACTGAAGTAATAATAGTAATAAAATCCGATATTTTTCCCAATGAATTCTTCTTTCTTTTTCAGGTACAGTATAGAGGTGGGGGGCTGAAGCACTCTTCCATTTCACAATAAATAAAAAAAAACATTAAGAAATCTGTGGGCTTTTTAAGAACACTGGTACTAGTGTATTCATGGTTCTAGGAAAATGCTAGAAATCAGATGACAAAAATCTTGTATTATTGTCATTACCATACTTTTAGATTTAAATCTAAAAAAATAAAAGTGGGTGAAAAAAAGAAACAAATGGCTTATCATCCTTCTCTGCCAAAAAGGAAGAACAAATAATATATCAACAAACAGCCAATAAATTTCAGCTAAATGGTGAATCATGAAGTAGTACAATTTTTATGAAAAATAATAATGATACAATTAATATACTCAAGAAATTTCTATTGCTATAATCTTAAACTTCGAATTTGAAACTAGAATGTTTTGGGAAATGCACCTCTTTATAAGCAATACGATAATATAATTGCTATAGGAGGGACTGCATTTTCAAATGAATCCACCAAAACACTTTGATTTATTTCTTGTATTAAAAAAGCTGGTGAGGGAGGGGGGAGGAAACTTTCACTTATGAAACTTATATTCTTACGACATGTTAAATTTTCAACATTCAAAAGACAATTTGAAATTAATACAAACTTTCTTTTCTTTGATAAGCAAGTAAAATTTTTTTCAAAACATGCAATATCCAAACACTATTCAAAATCTTAAATATTCATTTTTTAAAAATTATTAAGAAATTAAAAAAGAATTTAATTTCCTCTTGTTTTTTACATGAATAAAAAATGCACAAAACTAATAATTTTAACATTTTTGTGATAATATACCACTTTAGTACTTGATGACTTCAATTTTTCTAAATGGCCCATGCACTCACAGTGTTAAACACTGGTTATTAACCACTAGTAACCAATTAGTATACCATGAAAAATTCAATGAATAAATACATACTTTTGATCTCTATATGCATATATATATATATTTAGAATAAGTTTGGCATTCACTCTGCTCACTGACTTAGGAAGACCTGCACAGATTCGAACATGATAAAGTGTAAGTATTGATCAAACACACATTAAACAAGATTTAGAAGAGAACTATAACCAGAATTTACAGTTTAATACATCTTAATTTTTATCATGATTGTCTTTCATTATTATATATAATCTTTCCTTAAAAACAAGATCCTATTTTCTTAATCTACGTTAGAAAATAATATATTTTACTTTTTCATACACAAATGTTCACTTATTTGAGAATTTATATAACAAAACATCTGGAAAATAAAAATTACAATTAAGCAGTTACATAAAACTAAGTTAAAACACCATCTTCGGGCTTGGATCTGTCAGCAATTATATGCTAATGGCATGTTTTACATGCTAACAGCCTTATTCATAAAGTGCATGCCCTTTTCAAATAAAACTAATGCAAAAATTACAGTAACTATAAAAGTAAAAAGCTCACACTGAAGAACAATTCTAAACCAAATAGATATATCATCATAATATTTTCATCAATAAAGAATAAATTTTCTCATTACATATGGTTACACATACAGCAAGGAAAATTTCATAATAATCTAACTTTATTGCTAAGCACACACATTAGACAGTTTTTAATCTAACATAACCAGTTCACTTGCTGCTAATTTTATCAAAGTTATATAACAGAGTTTCTCCTACTTAAATTAATGTTTTACTGATTTATGTACAAAAGGAACAAAATATTCTCTTTTTGATAAATATTTTTGCTACATTAATGGGTGCTTTAAAAATTATAAGCAAAAGTAGTATGTAAAGGATAAAATATTCTGATTCTTACAATATATCCAACTGATACATTATATAACAAACTGAATGAATAAAATTTTAAAATACAGTTTCGTATTAATTTTCAAGACAATTGCAAAACACAGTTCTTGAAAAGTTAATGCTTTGCATATTAAACATACACGAAATTGTGGCACCACATGGCTTAAAAAATTGATCATTTATATATGCTCATATTTTGTATGTTTATAAAATGGAAAAGTATAAAATCATATATCAGCAAAAATGGCATTTTTATACAAGAATTCTCAAAAGCACTTTTAAGAATAAATATATGTATAAAATACATAGGATATTTCATATCAGATAACATGATGCAGAAGAGAAAGTGGAACGATCACTTGAATCGTCTTTAAAATGTGTTCAAGTTACCACAAAAAATCCAATCATTTTGCATAAATAACTTGGTTCACATTTATGGTATCTTATTTGAAGAATAAAAACGTTTGATTTACGTAAAAGTTGTTCACATTTATAGAAAATCCCTGAATTCTTGTAATAATTTAAATTTATAAAATCTAACCCAGAATAAATAACAAATAGAATCTAAATATTATTAAATTGCACTTTTTTTTTTTTTTTCAAATGACAGATACACTGTTTCAATACTTTTAAAATTCCATTAATAAAGTTACCATAATCTATAATTTCTTGTGCATTTAACGCTATAGAATTTTATGTTGAATTTATAATACATTGTAAGATCATAAACAATTATTCAACATCTTTTTCTAAGAAAGGAAAAATATTGTTTATTGCTAATTGCTTATATTATATATATATACACAAAAACTTTTACAACTGCAAGATTAGAAACAACATTTAAAGATATTTAGTATAACAAATGTAAATACACACTCTAATGGTTAATGATCTTTATTGCAGCAACCAAGAAAAATCCTTAAATGTTTCTTTCTAACTTATACTAAAATTAACAAGTTGCATTAATCAAGATTTATATAAATAACCGAACAAAACAAATATGAAATTATCATATATTTTATACATAGCAAAGTTAAACCATATGCTTTCTATAAAAACCAATTACCATAAATAACTTAAATATGAGCAAAAAACTAGAAATAAATATTAAAACAATATATACAAATTTTATATAAATAATTTCTACAAAATCTTCAGCTCATTTACAGCAAAGGAAATTGTTTTAAGTAGCAATAAGTTTGTTAAATTATGAGCGGGGATCCATTAAATACTTCTTTTAAAATAAGAAATAGTTAATGATAATTTCTTATGGGCTATAATTCATTAACAACTTAAGAAAACATTTAAACTGTTACACACAATGAGGGCAAAAATCAAAATTAAAATTACATTTTTCTTTATAAAATTTTATAATAATCATTTCACTATATAAGTAAAAGTGTTTAAGACATGCAAATGAATGTATGCACAATGATGTGCAAAATATGTAAATGACACTCTTTGGTAAAATTTAAATGCACCTACATTACGGTTTAGAATAGATCTCTTTCATATATCTAATAGGAAAAAGAGAACAAACTGAAATTATTTAACACAAAAATATCACTCGAACCTTAAACCCAGAAACTTTTACATGGAATAGTACATTTTTGGCTTACATAAAAGAAGATGTTTTTCTTAATATTTTCTGGATTAGAGTTATTTAAAATATAAAGGACATAAAAATGCACATTTTCATTCAAGGATCTTGACTTCTTACTACAAAATATCAAATGAAAAAGATATGTTTGTTTCAAATATATATCGAAAGAGAACAAAGTTGAAATAACAAATTCACAAACATTAAAGACAAAAATAGTTAATTTCAATTTATTCCATAAGAGATACTTTTATACATCAGAATGTAAATAATTATTCTTCTAAATAGTATATAAAGCCATTCAAAAATATTTTAAGCACTAGTATGAAAAAATTAATAAATGGAAAATGTTTCATACAAGCATTCTAATTCTAAATAAAGCTTATAACCTTAAATATGCCACTAGACAAGTTTTGGACAATTACATATATGACTAAAATAATGATTTTAGAATAAAGCTATAACAGACTAGCTACTAAAGGATTACAAAAATAAAGCTAAAGAATATTAAATAATGTAAATAAATCTCCAATTATGGCTTAAACAGTTATCTACTTTAGAAACAACAGCATAATCTAAAGGAAAAGCTTAATCATTAACATATATTGCACGTATAAAACAGTCCATAAACACAATTGGTAAATTTCTATATAGGAACATGTGAAGAGTTCTAAAATGTCAAGATGAAACAAGAAACTATCAATGTTTTAATTGGTGCAAAAATTCAGCAATTAAAAGAATTAAATTAAAGCAACTTAAAAATCTAAAGTTACCTGGTATAGTTCTTTTATATAGGCATTCTAAAGTTTAAAATACTCACTTAAAGAAGTATGCTTCCACAGCACTAATTTAAAAACGTACAAACTTATGAATATGGTATATTATCAACCTTATAAAGTTGAATTATTTGGTGGTAAAAAATAAAACAAATTCCACACACTGATAATACATAACTCACATAGTTTTTAAGAAGGGAGACACTTTTAGTGTATAACACTGAATGAATTACCTAAACCTTTCCTGTGGTCCCTTAACGGTTAAAAACAAACAATTCAATTTATTGCCGGCATTAAATTATGACAGCTAATAAATATTAAATTTCAGCCCACATAATTTAAATTCAAAGTAAAAAAAAATCTAAAAACTTCTCCCCGACTTTTATCAGATGATATAAAAAAAAATTAAAATTGCTTATTTTGAATTCACCATGTGTAATATTTTATTAATGTTCACGAAATTCATGAAATTAAAATAATCTTATATGTAATAAGAAAACTGTAAATGGAGACATTGCAAATTATATAGTATATACTCTTTCAGTATATAGATATACTCTTTCAGCCTTCTTTCTTCTATATTTATATACTCTTTCAGTATATAGATATATGCTGAAAGAATACTTATTTCAGATAATAAATACTTATTTCAGAGTAGATGTACTCTTTCAGTATATAGATATATACTGAAAGAGTACATCTACTCTGAAATAAGTATTTTATACATATAAATAAAAGTTACACTAATAAATAAATACATATTTCATACATGATGCAGATAATTTTCTAAATTATGTTTTTAATAGCTCATTTCTCAATACTTTATTTTAATAGCCTTCAGAACTCGGTAAAATAATAGTATTAGATACATCTTACATCAGAGTATTGTTTAATGTTTAAAATAATGAAGTTAATGTATTTTAAATTTATAGTTGCAATTTCCTCAAAAAATTCCTTTTGAATTTTATTAAAAAAAGACTTCATTAAAATTTAATAAAAACTATTTTGATTCATATATAAGTAGAGCAAATGCTCACATCTAGGTGAATTTTAAATTATTAACATATTTACATATATATATATCTATATATTTTAACTTTAATGCCAATAGAGACATAAAATTTCTAACAATTCTAAAACATCAGTAAGTTATCAAAGAGAGAAAACAGTACAATAAAATTTGATTTTTACATAAATAATATTACTTATGGTTATAAGAAAGCTACTGATTTAAGCACCATTTTCATTTTGTTAAATATTTTTATACTGATAAAATATTTTAGTTAATTTTGCATAAATTCATTACATACAGAAGGTATATGATATTCAGTATATTGTGGCTCTAATGATACATAGTAGAATTTTGATAAGTTTTTGACAAACTGAAGTGAAAATCAAAATATAGAATTACTAAAAATAACTTTCTTTTCTCAAGAAAATTCATTTTAGTTCACTTCAATTTTGGCTTATCAATTGCAACTATATGTAGACACACACACATATATATATATACATATATAGAGAGAGAGAATAATTTCTTATCTATACATATAATCAGGATGATAAAAAAAGTCTAGAAAACTTTCTTATTTTGTAAGTAATTCCAAGAATTGAAGCTAACTGCACTTTTTGACAAAAAGAATTCACACTTGTACGGAGTACGAGCATCATGGCCTCCACTTTAATATTGCTTTACAAATGTTCAAATTGGAAATAGAGCATGTGCTATATGAATTTAAGCTAATATTTATTTTTTCAAAAGCACAAATATTCAGTAGATGTTTTTACTATCCTCTTTCCTAAAAAAGGTTATATACCATGAATTCATATAAATGAACTGCTAACAGCCTGTTATTTCTTCACTGAAGGCTGAGAGATCAGGAAAGGAAATTGTTAGTCTGATGAACAGAAAACTCCATTCCAAAACTTTGCTGTAATAAGGTAGCGGAGATCTGTCTGTTATGGATTCAAAACATACCAATGTATGGATTGTTTGTTAATTTACATTCATGAAGAAAGAAAATTTTATCAAGTAGAATCTGGATGGAAACACAGAATTCACATGGCCTACTCATACAGATAACATAACTATATTTCAAGGCATTATAACTTAGCAGTTCCATATATTGAATCATATGTGTATACTATTTATTTGTATGTAACAGTCATTCTGTTATAGATATATATATATATATATATATATATATATATATATGAACACTAATTAACATCCATTCCTAGGCAACATGATGTGTACTGCATTGAGAGTTTTCATAACAGTACATGAAATCATACATGTACTGTTATGAAAATATGTACATACAAATGTACATTTTATAATACTACATGATATATGTCGTGACTACTGCTTACAGTTCTTTGATAATTTTAACAGCTATTAGCAGAAATGGAATGAAGGCTGTTAAACTCAACAACAGTAACAGAAGAGTTTCCTGTGATATTCATAAAAGTGTTATTAATTCATTCCTGGATCATATAGAATGAAGAAATAATAAGACATTGATAAATCACTTACATCATTTTCAGAGATTACACATTTCGTCACAAATAAAGACATGCATTAAAAAAATTACAGCACATTTGAGTTTTTGAAAAAGTTCTAGCTTAAATTATCATATAACATGTCCCCTTTTCTATTTGAAAGTTTTTTTGCAAGATTTAAGAAACAAGTTTCAGATTAATAGCCATCATAAGCATACATCCCATCAAATGCTTTTTTCTATTATTAAATTCTAATTACTGTAGTGGTTTATAACACAGAAATGTGTTTCTAGACTTTTGAATCACCTTATGTGCATATAACAGGAAAGAATTTATTTTCAATTTCTGAAACAGTTATTACAAATAGTAGTTACTATTTCAGAATAAATATCTAAAATTACCTTAAGAAATGTTTTCTCTCTTGATTATATTTAATTTTCAATACCTCTGCTATATGTTTTCTAAGATATATATGCTTATCAAAAGAGATACATTTAATATATTTTAAGTGCCAAATTTTCTTACATTTGCAAAATTTTAATAAGACCTATTATTGACAAAATATGAGAACTGTCATGGATACATCTGTAGATTCATGTAAATATCCCATTAATTAACAAAAACTTTTAACAAATTCATATATACATCAATTCCCAAATGAAAATAATAGAATCAATAACACCTCGACTTCAGTTATCTTCAAAGCACTTTTAGGTGAAATAATAAGAAAACTATTCAGTTTCAAATAACTATTTATAGTTTCCTTCATCCTTCCTTTTAATTATTAGTTTTCTTATGTTTCAGATTATCCTTATATTTTATATAAATGTAAGTCGAATAATGAAAGTACGTAAAAGAACTGAGAGAGAATTAGCATTGGCTATAGCTCAAAACATACAAATCACCTAAGTCAAGCAAATGATATCTCCTATTATAAAAATAATACACACAAGAATCATAAAATAATTTCAAATTCAAAAATGCAATTAGAATACACTCATTTGGCAAAGAACACAGTTAAACAGCTTTTTCCCCTTTTGTATATGGCACTAGTAAAATTAAGTACCAGAAAATCACATTTTAAGGAGAATCACAATATCACAGATGATTTAATATATCTATTAGAAGGTAACTTAATACCTATTTTCAGACTCTGTTAGTAGCCAACTTAATATCCATTTTGAAACTCATTAATATATATTCAATCTCTTTTCAACAAAATACAACTTTTAGAATCTTACTTATTAACTGCAGTTTTTTTTTTTTTTTTTTTTTTCTTTTCTTTTCAAGGAGTTGATATTGAGGAACAAGCTAAAATAATGAACAGAGTATGCTTTCTAAAAGAGATTTAAAATTACTTTCTGAAGAAAAAAAAAAAACAGCAAACTGAATGAAATTCATAAATTAAGTTACTTTCATTATACATATAGGCACAGGTGGGAAGATTTTTATGTATAGTGCATAACAAAATGATCACATAAATTTTTGGAAACATAACTGAATTAAAATAAAATCCTCAAAAAATACTGACTGCATAGATTTTATTTATTTTTGTATGACTAGGTTATAATGAGACAAAAAATAAATAAATACAAAATAGTAGCATTAATAATACTCACCAGATATTAAAACTATAATAAGTAATCAAAAGCTATAATAATAATAGTAACACATCATAAAGAAAAACTATTTAGAATATACATAAACTAAAAATGTACCCAAACGTTTAATCTTGCACTGTTATTTAGGAACTAAATGTCAAACAAATAATAGAAGACACAGAAAAAGAATCCAAACATTCCTTATCATTCTTATAAAAGAATTGATTTCAACTGCTTAGATTAAAATGTGAAAATTCACAGAATAAAATATTGAATACATTTATAAGGAAAAGCATTGCACATGAATTTGGTGTGAAGTTTTATGCAGCCAGGTCATGCAGCATTAATACCTTGAAAGTTACAAACATAAAATAGCCTTGGAATAATACACTATCTACATTTTGTTATTACAGAAATAATTAATTCTAAGTTATTTATTTTCCATTATTACTGATCAAATTTTATTTAATGCTTCTTAAAACAGCAAATAGGCAAAATGAAAACACTCTTCTATCTCCAAAATAAAAAAGACAGTAGATTTGTGATGCTACACTATTATCAAGCAAAAAAGGGGAAAGCTAACTCCTGTGCAACAAATTAGGCTGTTGTTCAAAACTACTGTAATGGTCTTTATGGCTTAAAAAAATTCTTATCATGTCACTTCACATTGGGGAGTGAAAAGATTTATTTCATATTTATCAAATAATACTCTGCCAACATAAACATTTATAAAATATAATTGTTAAATGAGTATGACTTACATTATATGTAAAAACAAGGACACGTACAAAAATTATTTTTTCTACACAAAATTTACTGTTATTTGAATTAATAGTTTAATATTTTTAAGTTTGTGTGACAAAAATAATAAGAGAATAATATTCATATTAAGTAAAGATTCAAATTATTAATTTTAATTGAGATAATTTTTGAAAATATTTCAGATGGTACAATTTTTTAATTTGCTAATAAACAAGAATTGGAAAATCTCATTCAGTTCCTTCAAATTCATTGCTAATAATGATCAAGTTATATATCTTATGGCCAACTAAGAAAATTAAATGAAATACTATTTTTTTAAAACACTATAATTGCAATCTTTCTCATTCATCTAATTTCATTAATTGTTCTTTTATTATGAATTTCCTTCTTTGGTTGTTTTACCTTTGCTTTTAAAAAGATTATTTATAAATAATTACACTGATATTACCCCTTATAATTAAAAACTAATTAAAAATTTCTTAAATAATAATGAAAGTATTTTTGCAAAAGAATAAGAGCTAAACTATAAAAAAACTAATTATTTTGTAACATTAAAAGCCTTATATAAACAGGTATTTGATGAGAAAATTTAAAGTGCTTGTTTCATAATATCAAACCCTATTATAAAAAGTAAATTTCACATAATTTCATCTTAACCAAGAATTCCATTTTGCATTTCTAGCAAAATGATGGCCAAAATATAAAGTAAAAAATCTCATGGGTCTAAATTGCAAATGATAGCCTTCATAACAGCTGCTGCAGCTAGAGCAGCATATGGTTGCCACTCTTTTTTCTTTGTACCATCTTTGTAATCAGCAATTCCTCGAATAAACACATAATCATCTTTTCTGTTCCCGAATATGGATTCAACAACAGAGCCAAACCCAGTGTCAAATGACATCAAGCCATGATGGTCTGCAAATGCCAAACGAGTAGTATCATCTTGCATTAAAACTCTACCAGATCCAACACCTCCAAAGTGAAGAACAGGCATATTGGGCTTACGAGGATCAAATGTTCCTTCCGTAGGCTGCGGATGTCCAACTTCCATTAAGTCATCACCAGTATTAGACATGTAGTAAAGTTTATCTGTTTCTGATGAAGGACGACAAAAGGATGACTCTTTGTCTGTCAGTTGCTTTAAGCCTTGTTCAATGAAATACTCCCATGGTCTGTCATTCATATCTTGCAAGCCTTTGCGCCATAAATTATAAGCAATATTCTGCAATTTAAGGCTTGGTGGGCCCCATGTCTTAATAGAAAAATGTTCAGGTGACAAAAAGTCATTTTCTGAGACATCAAATGCATTTTTTAAAGCTTCACAGTAAAGATATACATATGAATGCTGACTATCAGGTGGAGATGATATAACAACATCACCAAGTCTAACATGTTTAGTATAATCTCTATAATGAGGAACACCACCACCTACTCCAACAAGGAAAACATAATCCACTCTAGGAAATGTTCCTGAAAATTAATCATACAATTTATCAGAGACAGATAGTAAAAAATGTGATATTTAAAAGCATTAAAAAATTTAGTTTTAATAAAAAACCTCTTTTAAACAAATAATCCCTGATCTGAGAGTATGTGTGCAAAATCTACACTTAAGCCTCTGAAATCAAAATGGTACCCATTACACAAGGAACTCAGTAATATTCATATATTTTTTATAGACATACATTCTCATATTTTTATTTATACTAGTGCTTTTAAACCGGTTTATAAGAATCTTTAGTAAGAAGACACATTTTAAGTCCTTACATTAAAAAAGAAATAATGAAGAAAAAATGCATTTAGTTTTGGATTTTCAAACTTCACCTCTTGGTGTAAAATGAAAAGAAAATATTATTGAAATTTTCACTTTTGATTCATGAATCCATTTTCCAGATGAGACATGAATTAAAAAAACACATAAATTGATAATCCCATTTCAAATACTATTTATTGATTATAGTTAAGACTTATTAGAACTGAATATTATTCTGCATACTGAATACACAATAAAACTATCATAGAAGAATAATTGTAAAATCATATTATATGATATACACTGAAGTGACAAAAGTCATGGGATAGCAATATGCAAATATATGGATAGCAGTAGTATCGCGTAGAAAATGTATAAAAGCGAAGTGCTTTGGCAGGGCTTTCATTTGTGTTCATGTTATTCATGTGAAGAGGCTTTGACATGATTATGGCCGCATGACGAGAATTAACAGACTTTGAACGCAGAATGGTAGTTGGAGCTAGACACATGGGTCATTCCATTTCGGATATCGTTAGGGAATTCAACATTCCGAGATCCACAGTGTCAAGAGTGTGCCGAGAGTATCTAATTTCAGGCATAACATCCCACCATGGGCAGCGCAGTGGCCGACCACCTGCACTTAACGACCGAGACCAGCGACTTCTGCATAGAGTTGTCAATGTTCACAGACAAGCAACACTGCATCAAATAACCGCAGAAATCAATGTGGGACGTACGAGGGACGTGTCCGATAGGACAGTGCGGTGAAATTTGTCTTCCTTGGGCTATGCCAGCAGAAGACCGACTTGAGTGCCTTTACTGACAGCACGACATCGCCTGCAGCGACTCTCAAACTCAAAATGGCAGTCGTAAAAACAGACAAAAATTTCAGATGATTAAAATTAAGGACCTTCTGCCAATTTCGGCCAAAATTAATTACTTTTCTGCTTTTTGTTATCAGTGTTTATTTTCATGTATCTGCAAAATTATGCATCTGTAAATAAAAAAAAAAAAAAAAAACTGTTTATGCAATAGTTTTTTTATTATTTTTTTAATTTTTGCATAAAGAATAAGAACACCAATTACCAGTTTCCCTTTAAAAAATTAGATTGATTTTCAAACGATTTTGAAAGTTCCTTCAAACAAAACATATACTAATGATTTTTGCTATTCCTTTTACTCAAGACAATTAACTTTTACTTATTATACATAACCCACAATTTGAAGCCAATTATTATTCATACCCCACACAAAGTCTGCAACTCAATGGTAGCTTTGTGAACTGGCAAAAATGACTTTTGTTTGGCTCTCTTTACAAGCAATAAGTATTGATCTATACAAATAATCAGCAAAAATTATTATAAAAAGAAGCATTCTATAAGAACACTGAACAGTGAAATGTTGGTTAAATGTATAGCATGCAGATATAAAGCATATGCCACAAACGTGTGGTATATGCATGCAAGGGCTGCTTATTGCCCTGTGTACAGTGATAATACACCCAAATTACACTGCTCGACATTGAAAATGCAACACCACGAAGGAGTGGTCAGAAAGTGATAAAATTTTGAAAAAAGACAGAGACAGCAAGCAGCAATAAGTTATCTTTATTTCAAAATGATTAGTCAGAATACAGAGCGAGAACTGCGTCGGCTCAGTAGGATGTAAGACCACTGTGGACAGCAATGCACGAAGAAACACATCTAGGCATAGAGTCAATGAGAGTGTGATGGTGTCTTGAGGGATGGCTCTCCATTCCCTTTCAACCATTTGCCACACTTCGTCTTCTGAACGAGGCAGGGGTAGAGTCTGCAAATGGCGTCCAATCACATCCCACACATGTTCAATTGGTGACAGGTCAGGAGAGTACAGTGGCCAGGGAAGCATCTGTATACCTTGCAAAGCATGTTGGCAGATGCGAACACTGTGTGGTCGGGCGTTATCCTGCTGAAAATTTGCATTAGGCAGCACCTGAAGGTAGGGGATTGCCACCCGGCCGTAGTATGTTATCCAAGTATCATTGGGCCATCATAGTGCCCTGAATACAAACTAGAGGTGACCTGGAATCGTCGGCAATAGCACCCCAAAATATAATGCCACGTTGTCACGTGGTGGGGCATTCCACAGTTACTGCCGGATCTGTGTCCACGTCGACGCCACACACATATGCGGGAACTGTCACTGGATAAACAAAAGCGTGACTCATCTGAGAACATGATGTTTGCCATTCTGTCATCCACATTGCTCCAGTACGGCACTATTCTAAACGTTGGCGTCTACGCTGTGGAGTCAATGGCAGTCTTCTTAACGGATGCCGTGAGTGCAGGCCACGTTCAAAAAATCGGCGCACGTGCTGACGTCACTCTGGCTGCACCTGCACCCTCCTTCTTCCCACATTTCCTTGTTCCAACCATGTTCACCATAACCAATGCACCGTGCTCGCACCCAAGTGGGTATCAGCTGCGATTTCACAGAAGGACCAACCCGCCCTTCTCAGTTCGATCACCATACCCCTCGTAAAATCGTCTATCTGTTGGAAGTGCCTTCGTTGATTGCAGCCGGGCATTCTCTCCTATTACATGTATGCTCCAGGACAAAAACCAACTTTCTTCTATAATTCACCTGGCAGAAATAACAACATGAATATTGCTCATTCTGCACGTTCCTTCTTTTATATCTTACTTCACGTGTGCCGGGGAGCTGCGCATTTCACATCATTCACATAACTCAGTGACGTGCGTCTACTTTAAAAATTTGCATAAATTTCTGACCACTCCTTCTTGGTGTTGCATTTTCAATGTTGAGCAGTGTATTAAGACTGGAAGTTCAGATAATCAGAAAGTATCATTATTTATAATATCTGTTTCAAAAACTGTTTTACTGTTTTTTTTTTTTTTTTTTTTTTTTTTTTTTTAAGAAACAGAACAGGAAGAAAAAAAAAAAAAAAAAAAATTGTGAGCTATTTTGCATTTTTAACTTCAATATTCTATTCTGTATATAAATTTTATTAAATGATAATCGACTTTTTGACCAACTTAATATGCACTTGAATAATTACCAAAATTACAAAAAAAGTCATACTTCTGTTTTTCATTTTGCAAATTAATAATTCTTTTCTCCATGCAACTTATTTTTTTAATATTTTAAAATCAATATTGCTAAATGAAAACTCTACATTCATATAAGAACATTTTGACTGGAAACTTGCATTTATTTACCAATGCTACTGCCACACATTTATAATGAATCTTTCATGCAGCACAGTTGGTAGTGGAACCTGGCTACACAGTGACAAGCCCATATTCAAATCTCAAGGCATGGACATTTGTGATAGTAATGCTTTTTTTTATACACATCATTTTAAAAATATTTTTAAACTACTAATTTACTTTACTACTAAACTACTAATTTTAAAACTACAAGGTAAATTAAAATTTTGCTGAAAATTTTAATTGGAAATTGCATTTATTAATGCTAGCTATTCACAGCAAGTCTTTAAGCTACATAACAGTATGCAGCCTTATTCGGTACAGTGATTAATCAAAGCTGGCTACACAATAATGAATTCAGATTTGAATTACAGAAAAGACATGAACTTAAGTGACTAGACTTTCTGCAATGATTATTTAAAAATATGACAAGCTGATGGAGGGAAACTGGAGTATGAAACCTATAGTTTCTCTGTAATGTTTTCAGCAAAAATAAGATTGAAACAGCAAATAAATCTCGTGTTACCTTTATTAAATACACCTGCATTACATAGCAATTTCTATTTATAGCTGAATCTATAGATAAGAAGATCAAAATAAAAATATTAAGAATATCTTTTTCTTTTTCTTCTTTTTTTTTACTGAAATATGCATTAAATATCTGATTTTAACATTAAGAAATGAAAACATTAAGAAATGAAATATTAATTATATGTTTCTGCATGTTCTAATCACAAGTATTTTTTCCTAAAACCAAATGATTTGCCCAAAACCTCATAATGGTTACAAGATTACCATTCATCATAAGACAATAAGATATGGACTGTTTATCTACAGATAAGCGATTATTAAAAACATTTAAACATTAATGCATATCTGATAACAATATATAAAGTGATGTCAATTAATTTCCATGCCATTAGACAAAGCTATGTTAAGCTAGCTCAAAAATATATTGTAATTCTAGCATTATTTTTCAGAAGATTAGGCTATAAACCTATAAAACAATTTAATTTCTAAAATCGAGTTACATTAGTTTCTCATATAAAACTATAACAAATGCACAAAATTTTAAATGTTTAACAAAAAAAAAAAAAAAAAAATTCAAATAGATTTCAAAAAATTTATAAATTATATATATATTTTTTTCATACAACTTTTTAAAAGAGCAATGTAATTCACACTCAGTTCAATTTCAATACACAAGTATTCAACCTACCTAACAGTCGTGTGGTTGTACTACCTGCTGCTATCATAGCTCCTCTTGCCATGCCTGTAGCTGGTAATTTTGTGGAAACTACTCTATGAGGACCCACTGTTCCAAGAGTATAAACATTTGATTCCCCTATAAAAGTATGTTCATCACTATTTCAATTCTACATTCATGAATTCAAGAAAGTAGTAAAAAATTAAACAGTATTTTCTTACCCTCAGTTTTAAATTTAACAAATGTTTCTTTATTATCAATCATAGCATCCACAGCTAACTTTTCACAATATTGAGCAGTTATAATGGCAATTATGGGTTGCTTTGATTGTGCAACCATGGGCATCTGTTTTACCATTTTCACATCTGTAAATGATTCACAGGTAATAAATACAATTAATATACTACAAAAATGAATTCCTGTTTACTTAACCTTATTAATAATAAAGTTTTTTCTACAGTAAACTTCAATAGCCTAATTTATATTTAATGCAGAACAATATATACAACAGCAATATAAAAAACCATGCAGTTACTCATGCTGGTAACATATGTACATACTAAATTATGCCTTGATTTACCAAACATTATTTTGAAAGGTAGGAGAAACTAATTTATAAAAAGAATGCTATTTATAAAAGTAAATTAGTAGCTATTCCAACTGCAGTTTACTGAAAACTAAAAAAAAAATAATAATAATAATAAAGAGTAAAAAAACAACACTCTTGAATGTTCATGCCAAAGTAGTCTGCTATATCTAGTGCTGGGTTCTCCAATTCATTGACAATGAGCTATTGGTTGGTTGCAAGCTAAACCAAAACTGTCTTCAATATGCATATGAAGGAAATAAATGAAAGTATATTAATATACTAGCTAAGATAAAATCAATTTGAAAATTGTTACACTATTTTTAATACTATGCCAGAATTGAGAAAATTAAGTGTAAAGAGTGCCACTTTATTCTTCACTCTTAAAACACAATTGTTATTAACAGAACTATCTTTATAATAATGAATGAAGGTAAAGAAAAGAAAAAGCAAAAGAAGTTAAAAAAAAATTAAGTTGCAAATACAAAAAACTGAAATAAAATATGCTGGACTAATTTCACATCTTACTTTTAATAAAAAAATTCCACGTATAGTCCTGGAATATAAAAAAAGCTATCACATTAAAATTTCATACATAAAGGATTCCCCTCCCCTTAAAAAACTTCCAAATTCTTCATCAGCAGCAGATAGTCCTTGAATGGCTTGTCATAATAAGTATTATAATAATATGTTCATCTTTAAATACAGCCTCAATCTTTGCTTTCAGTAAACTACAGTTTCACAAATACTGAAACATTCATTCTTGGTATTTAAAAATTTGTTTTCAAGTTTGATGATTTCTTATGCTGAGAAATGTCTAACATTTCATGAATGAAAGATCGATGCTGCTATCATAGCTCCTCTTGCCATACCTATAGCTGGTAATTTTGTGGAGATCATTTAGAACTCATGAATTCTATGATTTGAAAACAATGCATAAAAGCATATTTCATTTTCTAAAATTATTTATGTGGATACATAAAAATATTACTCATTATAACAACATAATATTTCAAGCATTATTATTATTAAAAAACAGTTTAATAAGAATGTATTTCCTTTGATAATAAGTCAAGAGTGAACTATCATCATGGCACATGAAACTCAAATTTAACAAATTTAAGCACTAATTTTTCAAAATCAAATTTTAAACACCATGACAAAAAATGAATTTATATTATTTCAAATTACATTATTAATTTATATGAAATCAATTAAATGTTAAACATGTATTTACACAATGCGTATCAGCACATATTTATATAATAGATAGAACTTTTCAAATTTCTTTATATTTATTCTGCACTTTTAAAGCATATAGAAGAATTCAAATATTCTGGCTGCAAAACTCAAAAATAATATTAATATATTTGAGCATTAGTGCTATGCAATAAAGTTATGAGTAGTATACAATTAAGTTACAATAGCAACATTTAGTGCATTAAGATAAATACTTAAATTTTATTTATTTACATTCATATATGTATATAGACAACTTGTTAGACAAGTCAAATATTTTACATCAACACATAGCAATTCTAGTTAGTTTTTAAACAAGCAGATTTTTCTCAATTGAAAAAATAATAAATCAGAGAAGATTTAAACACATGAACATGAAATATCTTAAATTAACATTTCATTCAGTGGTGCATTAGATCATGCAGTCAAATTATCTAACTCAATGCATTACATTCTGTTAACAACAAAAATTGCCCAATATTAAATTCAGCCTTTGGGTAGTCTACATTTTAGGGTACCCCTTGGATTACTGCCAAGTCGTTGTTTCATTTATCACCAAGTAGTTGTTTCATTTATGGTATGGAAACCCTATTATGAAGTGATTGGATTTAATATGTGATTGCGGTGACTTTGACTGTTGGGAAAATATTTCTCAGAGCTTATTTATGTACTTAGGAAATATGTTGCTTATTTTGTGCTTTACACCTTAAAATGCCTATTGGTGGTATGACTAACCTGAAGTTTCTGTACGCTTTGGAACGAATGAGAAAGAAAACTTTGATTGACTAGTGTGTAAATGAAGATTTAAATGGCTTCCTTCCCCTACCAGTAAATTAAGCAATGAGATTTAAAAATTTGGAAACCAGAGCACATATCAACACTATGGAAGGCATGTGGGGTGTAATAAAAAGAGATTTTCGAAAGAAATGCCACTGGCAGTATAACGGATATTTTTAATTTTTACTTGTGTGAATTTATGTGGCAATGGCAGTATACAATATTTTAAACAGTTTTTGTATGCTGTTAAGGAATTCTATGTACGACACACTTAAACACACAAAAATTTCTAACTAACTATTATGTTATTTCCTTGTTTTATTTTGATTTAAAGTTTTATTGAGATTATAATTTTTTTAATGTTTTAATTATGTTTAATTGCATTATGTTTTGGATGCTATTTTACTTGAGAGGACATTGCATGTAAACAAGAATGGTGCCAAAAAATTGACATTTTTGGCCAAGGGATACCCTGAAATATATTTTTCCTCCAGCTCTTCAGTCAAAGATTAATGTTAGTGACAAATCCCAAGCAAAGTTACAAGCATATTTCTTTCTTATTTACCTTGCCCATATTCAGTATTTGAAATATCTCTCAGCTGTAATCTAATATTTTTGAGCAACTCAGGAAATTCATCTCCTAAAGAATAAGTAATGATCACATATGTATTAATTTCATCTTCCCTTATAATCCCCCATTTTTTAAAATTATTTTCTGCAGAACACTGGAAAATTATTTCATGCATAAAATAATTCTTTTTCAACTAAAGGTTTTGTTATCCAAATATGAATTAAACTAAAGTATTTTCTCCCGTTTTAATGATGGATAAAAATTTAATGCAAAGGCTCAATATAAGAGTAATGTGATATAACAGTCATACCCAGAAGACATGTACAAAAACAGATACTCTTACAATTGTAAGATTTTTTTAGAGTATGTGTTTAATTAAATAATATAAAAAATTTTTAGGCTAATTCATTTCAGATTTATGCAGTGCTAACTCTATTGCAGTGAATAATTTTTTTCACAACGAAATTACAACATGAAAATTCCAAGCTGAAAAAGAAACAAATTAAATATAAATTTTTAAGCTCATTTCCATATCCTGCTAAAACACTTGGAAAAAATAGAGAAAATAAAATACAATAAAATTACTATACAACAAATAAATATACACACTAAATCAGCCTAAAAATAAATTTCTGTCATGCATTTCAAGACATGAGTAAAGAATTAATGATCAATGATAACACAAAATACTGATTAACAATTGCAACATAAGAAGTTTTTATGAACAAATTCTAAATTATTAAATAATTGGACCTATTACAATAATGGATTTTTTATTGTTAGCATGACTTGATTACATATTAACAATACACGAAAACCAGTTTGTCATAAGCATAAAATGAAGAGCTATAAAAAAATTCAAATACTAACATTTATAAATATTAAGATACAATAACACACTGAACAAATATTAATTTAGAAGTCAAACAACAAAAAACAGCATTATATTTTCAAATTTTCACAGGACTAGTTTTGATGGTTTTACCGAACCAGCATCCTCAGCTGCAAAAGCACAAATGAACGAGATAAGATATAATGATTAGATAAGATGAGATCTAATCATTATATCTTATCTCGTTCATTTGCACTTTTGCAGCTGAGGATGCTGGTTCGGTAAAACCATCGAAACTAGTCCTGTGAAAATTTGAAAATATATCGCTGATTTTTATAGTTTGACTTCTAAATTAATATTTATAAACATATAAGAAATAAAATGATTTTCATACAATTATATTTTTGCTTACCAGTATCATTTTTTGTTGTTCTCATGTAGTTTCCATTGCTCAGACATTTAACTAAACCTCTTGCTTGCAAAGTAATAAGATGTTCTTGAGCTTCTTCATCAGAAATACTGGAAGACCTGTTTAATGCATCACATGATATGAAAATGTTATAAAATACATTATGTATGTAATACCAGAGATTTTAAATACCTCATCTAATTCCAGAGACTATTTTTAAGTCTTATATCTGATTTACAGGATGCCTGCAATTAAAGAGCTCTCTTGAAAGCCTTGAAATAAATTCTGGATAACATTCAGGCAAATTTAGTTTCAGGAAAAGAACACAAAACTTGCATTTTAAAAAAATTATAATGTTTAAATGTACATATAAAGAAAGAAATGCAGTCTGTATGCTACTACAAAGTTTTAGTATCACTAATTTCATTTTGTATGCAGACAATAGTAAACAGATGTAGAGACAGAAATTTTGCAATACATATATTTTTTTAAATTTTCAGTTTTACTGATAACTTCAGCAGATGCCTCACACATATTGCATTTATGCAGAATGATGTGTTACTCCTCCATTTAACTGGATGAAGGTACAAATTTTACAAAAAATTAGGGGAGTAAAAACACTGCTTTACTTGAGAATAAGAGCCTTCAAATATAAGACCATTCTTACATTCCTAGATAGATTCTAAGGAACATATATAGGCGAATATGAATTTTGTCTAGTAATAGTTCTGAAAAAAAGAGTCTTGATTTCTCCCCCTCCCCTTTCAGAATTTCCTTGAAACAACAGCACTATTGGCTATGGTCCAAGAACATTGTCAGTGATGCACTGTTACCTTTTTCTCTTCAGGCACATCAGTCCTTTGGATATTGCAGATAAATTGATTGCACAAATGTTGATCTATAATGACAGCAAACTTGGCAACTGAGGTAGATGAAATATTCATTTCTATTTCAATTGATATTTGTGGCCATAATCCATGTGGCACTCTTATGATAGTACCTTAGAGGCAAAAGAGGTACAGAGTGTGTTAATTATCCAATGTGACAGCCCACCAAGAGAAAGGTTTCAGTCCAGAAGTTCCAAATTAGCTATGTTGTCATCATTATATAAAAGTCATATGATATGGATAAACTCGAAATGATGCAGTTCAGAAAAAAAATACTACTATTTTTAGAATAGAGGAGGGGAAGTATCCAAATTAATATGAAGAATTAAGTGACTATTGTTAATTTAAGTTACAATTTTGATTTATACATTTTTTATCTTACATATACAGAGGCTGTTCACACACTTTTTAGATAATGTATATTGTATTCACAAAACTAAATTACATAAAATTCTTGGGTTTTAAATGTTCTATTTGACATCTCTTATTCTGAACTATCTTTCGACACCATAATTTCCAGGGTAATAATGCCTTTTGAAGTGGCAGAAGAGATATTCTATCCCATTCCTCCCGAACAGCTTTCCAGAGTCCCGTTAGGGTTTGGGGACAATGTTTGGATAATGCAGTTTTTAAAAGTCCGAAAGCACAAAAATCCATAGGTGAAACATCGGGAGATTTAGTAGGGATATCAGTGAAGGGTATGGCTTTGATACCAGTTTTTGTTCCGATTCTATTAGGAAATTTACATTGGATTGTGATGTGTGACTGCTAGCTTTGTCCTGATGGAGTCTCACAGATTGATGGCACTGTGGGTAAAGCGATGGTATTTCACTCAGAAAAATTGGTGATAAAGTATATTCCTGATAGTATTTGGAGTTAATCTTGACATTTCTTTTGCACTCTCTTTATTTTTAACTTGCCATTATAAGAAAAAACAACAACAATCATGAATCCCTTAGAAAAACTTTCTTTTGATTCTTTGAACCATTTACTTAAATTTTTTTCTCCCCTTTTATGATAATAAATAGCTCTTTGTTTGTTACAATCATTTAAATACACTCATGCTTCATCTATTGTGACAATTGTTTTCCATTTTTCTTTGGATAAGTGTTTCTCATATAGAATTCTGCAGCGTGTCCTGCATTGAGCGATATGCTTTGGAAGAAGATGATGCACATTGCGTTTTTTTGCTGTCTTAAGATTTAAATCAATATTTTTCATTTTGTTTACAGTGGACACCGAGCATTTTAATGATTTTGCAACTGTCCTTTGACTAGGGGGATTTTCTTTTAACATTAAATAACATACCTTTGCAATAGTCGAAGATGTCCGTTTTCTTCCTTGGATACTTGTTTGGAATTTTTGTCCCACTTGAGGCTCCAATTTGAAATTTTTTTCCTTTCTTGTTGATGATATTACCTATCGACACTTTAGATATCACAAAAACCATGACTCTCACATCGTTTTTGGATAATGGAGTATGCATATTTCTCTTCGGAAAGAGCGTAAATGTAGCCTTCGAACCACTGCTTTGTTAAATTCACCATTTTGAATAAAAACAAAACTTTCAAGCCATGGATGATAATTTTGACTTTTAAAAACATAGTACAATTACAATTACTTTTTTTTCAGCAAACGATTTTTTATTACCAAAATCGTCTAAAAAATGAGCGAACAGCCTCTGTATATGCACCTTATGTATAGTAACTATCTATGCAGTTTTTATTTAAGTTACATATGATAATTTTACACTTAATTGTTAACTTCATTAGCATTAAATGAATTCTCAGAAAACACTTTTTAAATCATAACTTTTTGCTTAATTTTATATGCGTGTACATATATATAACTTACAAAGACAATAAAATTGTTTTAACAAAGAATATGGCATTAAAATTTCTAGAAAATTTTGCAAAGTGCAAACTCAGTATTCAAAGATATCACAAAGAGAGATTTATCTATTTGCAATAATTTTATGTAATTACTGTGACGTATTGTTATTTGCAATAGTTTTCTAGCACCATCAGCCCAAAGGGACGAAGGACAAAAAACAGCATTCCATCTCAAAACAGCATTTTGTGTCGAATCACTATAAATGGCTGTATCACTTTTCAAATTGTTGCCACAAAATATTATCGCCCTGTATTATATTTAAAGAAATTAGATAATGAAGAATATGTATGCATGTACATATATTTATTGCAATGTGAAAAAACAATGATAGTTAGAGCCATCAAATTTTGAATAATGTAGTCCTCCACCCGAATATGCACACCTGAAAGTCCGAATCTTTAACTTCAAATTTTTATGTTATCTATTTTTTACTTTATAACTTTAAAAAAATTTTGATTAGCATACTTTGAAATTATCGATTGTCACTGATTTCAAAGTGAGCAGTGGCAACACACTTAAACGAATAAAATATTTTTACCTATAGCATATGAAACTGTCTATCAGAAATTCTAAAGATATGCTGTTTTTAAATATTTTTAGCCCAAAGGGGCATTAGCCCAAATGCTCTCGAAACATGTATGTATGTGTAAATGAAAAAAAAAAAAAAAAAAAAAGAAAGAAAGATTCTTTGGGCATAATATAATATCTGAAAATTTTCAGATTTTTTTAAATTATATTTTTATATAATTACACAGGAAGAAGAACAAACACAATTTTCAGAGTATGTAATAAATTTGCTTGCACTAAATCAGAATGAAACAAATATAATAGTAGTTATCTAAAATAAATCAAATTTCTTAAATTACATTTTCATGGCTTTAAACATTTTTAAGAATTAGTCTTTAATTTATATTCATCACCTGTAAGATACTATTTCTACATTTCCGAAATTCAGTAAGTTTTGAGGTAAGGATATAAATTTTGTATAACAAAAGACTAGAATCAGAATCTATTATTTCACAAATAATTGTTTGCTATAGGCCAAAGAAAACAATGTATAAATATGATAATTTCACACCCTGGGGACTGCAACCTGCATGCAGTATGATCAAAAAGATGCTTGCTTTCTTATTTTATTTCCCATTAAAAAACATACATTTCATTACTTTTTGCAATTGGTTTGAAAAGAATTGAACACAATTTCGGCATTAGCAAATATCCTGAAAAGTATTAGTCACTCATTTTCAATTAAATATTATTTCTGATAATTATTTATTCAAATGTATTTTAATTAAAACATTATTTTACTTGTTGGTAGCATTTAACATTCTTAAACTACTTACTTTGCAATTGCTGACACTGATAATGAATTGGGATAAACTGCTTCAACAACATCTAAGAGCCTCTCTTGTATTACAGTAAGTTTTGAATCATTAGTTTTAACTTCAGTGGAAATAGCTAAGGGTAAAAGCACATTTTTAGTTTTCATTAAACAATATATATTACAAAAGAAAAATAAATAAATAAATAAATAAATAAAGAAGCTTTCTCTCCCTAAAATTATTAAATACTGAGTGAAATATAAAATGCATCAAAGTATTTCTTCTTTTAAAAAATCACCATCTACACAATATAACCATAAGAAAAATGACGGAAATTTTAAAATTTATCATACATTTCCTCAAAAGAGTAAGGAAATAAAACTGATTATATTTAGTGAATTCAAAACTCATTATATCACACTCAAGCTCTTTTAAATTCTCAAGCTGGAAATTATTTAATCAATTATGTTTATCAATGTATTTGCATTGTAGAGTACACGATTACTAACACATGATAGACATCATCAGTTTCCTACAAACAAATTAATAAAGCAACCTTGCAAAAACTCTAATGATGACTCACGAGAAAACAGCATTATAAATGTAAGACCACAGGAAAGAAAGAGAGAGAGAGAGGCAGCAAAACCTTTAGCACTCATTAATGAAAATTCAGTACATCTATGAACACCAAGCATTAACAAAATGCTTAACCTAACAAATACAGACAGGTATGCAACTTCCTGTAACTGTTCACCTTAATCCCAAAGCAAACTTAGTATATAAATAAGGCACACTAAATAATGGATAAAATACACACAAAAAAGTATGACTTTAAGATATAAAAATTGTTGCATTAAAGTCTTATTGCTTACTGCTATAAGCAATAAGACTTTACAGCAGTAATATTTTTAACTTAAACTCATGAAAATGCTTTTTCCATTAACTCACATGAAAATGCTTTTAGCTAAAAGTAATGTTTGATACTATACTTCATCAGGTTGTAATCTTATAACTTGAAGCACAAAAAGATATTTTTCAGGAAATAACAATCTGTACTTTAATTTAAAAAAAAAAGCCAAGAATTTCATATATTATTGCACTTTTTCAAAAAATCATTAGTACTGTCATATTTTTAAGATTTCACACATTACTCTTTTTTGGGTACAACTTTGGTATGATATTTATTAAAAAAAAATACCTTCATGTGGTGTTCTTTGATGCTAGTATACTTTCCTGCAGATTGTTACAAAGTTTTAAAAATAAAGGAATTTAGCATCATAATGAATAAGCATAACATCACAACATAACTAATAAGATCTCTGCCATCGTTTTACATAGCCTCAATCAATCCTTGATAAAGCCTGTCTAGTTTTTGGTGAAGAAGGAAGGATTTAAATTATCTATTTTTCTGTTTTCTCTCACATTTTGAAAAATTCTCATGTTATCAGTATGTGACTTCCCACCAGTCCCAGTTTCAAATAACAAAGAGCTTTAAGTAAAATATCAAGTGATACTTTACTAACTTAATGCTATTTAAAACATAAAATTGGTTGACCATTTGTATATAAAATCAAATGTTTGCAAACTTTATGATTCAATGTGAATTATAAACACTATTCGTTTTTAATTATTCTATTTTATCATACAATGAAAAATGATAACTATACGTGCTCATGCACACATTCGTTCCTATGCCTTCATTTGAAAACATTGCACTGACCACAGTACATCCTCTAGTTGTATATTTCAAATTGACAAATCTATGACTTGAGAACCATAAAATATTTAAAAGCAGCATAACTTTAGAATTCCTTAAAGAAGTCTTTTATCAGTTCTTATCAATGTTCAGTTTTCCTAATAAAATGACAAACTTTTTAATTTGTCTTTTACAGCGTTATTGAAAAAAAAATCACTTTTTCCACACTTACTCCGCATAAAACTTAATAACAAAATCACAAAATCTTTCAAAGCAAGCATATCTTTAGAACTTTCAATAGAGTATTAAGTGCTGCCATACATTTTTTCATATTTGCTGAACTAACTGCTATATTATTTCTTTAAAATTAATACATGGTAATAACATTTAGTGGATTTTATTTGAGAAATTATCCGACACAAAATTGAAATGGACACAAGATTGAAGATTGAAGCTAATAAATTTTAATTTCTTCACAATGAGATCTCGTCTTTATAATGAGCTTATTCTCATTGCATTTGGCATAATTCCAATACATTTAAAGCTTATAAATGTAGCATGTTTTTATCAATCACATCTATGTTTCAGATACCAAATCTGACAAATTTTGGATTACCTCATAACACATTTTTTCATGAAAATCTGTTCACAGCTTTGAGTAAAGTATCACTTCTGGTATATTAGTTTAAGCCAAAATCTAATATGCTGTTCCCATCAATATAAAAGTTTTAATACTAAAACAGGAATGTTTTGGATTATATTTCAACACAGTTTTTCATTAAAAATGTTTTTGGCTTAATGTATAACTTCCAACTGTCTAATTTTTAAGCTAAATCTAAGTAATTTTTTACATAAATGCAGAAAGCTGAAACACAGAAAATGGAAATTTTTGGTAGTTTCATATAAAATTATCATGGACTAAAAACTGTCACACACATACACACAAACAGATATCATTCTGAAAATAATTAAAGCACATTATGGGGACCCTAATAATTCATGTTTATTCACTGAAAACACACTGTCAAATGTTTGGACCAAAAATGCTGCTTTCTTTACCTATGTACATTTATGTCCAAATCTATCTTTACAAACCAAAAACATAATGATATTCTATGAAATATCCTATTGATGTAATCTATTTTTGTAGGGAATATGCAAAAGACAAAGTTAATTAGCATTATCCCTCCTACAATTTCTAATATGCAAATCATAACATCATCTGATGGTGAATTCAAGTGCTTTGTACAAGGTGAATACCTGAGTGAATTTCTGCAAAGAGATTTCAACGTACAAGAACTCAAATTCATGTGTTATGTTTCTGAAGTATCATTTGGAAAGTGGCGAAACAGCCTAGTAGAGCAGGGCAGATAATCACGGAAGTAGCGAGATATGTCAATATTAAACAATAGACGGTCTCTAAGTTATGGAAACATTTTCAGAATTCTGGAAATGTCATCAAGAAGCCTAGACAAATAACAACTGCTTCTCAAAGTCAATATCAGGCAATAACTGCTTCTAATAACAAGAAGTTTACTACTGAGCAACTTAATTAAAAGCTTGCAACCAAAATTGGAACTGTTATATATATCACAGCAAACTGTATACACAAGGTTTGGTGAAAAAGGACTTCATGCCAAAAAGTCAACACAATTCATCAGAAGCTATGGACCTGCAGCTGGAGGGACTTTCCCTGGCTTAGGTATAAGATTGGAAACAGCTTTCTTCTGTGTGCTGGGAAAATTATGCTCCTTTCACACTTGATTCTACAAAACAAGAAAGGCAATTGCCGACTTGCAGGAGAGATGTTTAATCATTTTATAATTGATGCCATGTGGAGCTGAGCTAGACATATGTGTATATAATAAAGCTTTCCATAATTCAAGCAGGGTGAATTCACTATTCCACTATTGTACAGCTCCAAAGTGGTAGAGTTGAACTTAATGGAAAAATTTTTGGCACACAGCTTTGCAGAAAGAAATGATGGAGAATAACTGTGGCTGAATAACTATCGCAAATGTTTCACTAAGAACACTCACAATTTCTTCAGCAGTGCTAATTGCTCAGCCATCTTTTCAATGATAGAAAGTGAGTGGTCTTGCTATATTCCACATGCTTCTCTAACTCTTTCTCATACTGGTTTATTGGGAGTTGAGGATGCTATTACAGGCACATGGAATATCCAAGATTCTCTCATACTCTGCCATTGTACCTTTCTTGTGTTTGCTTTGGCATTTTTGAAAGTTATAAGGTTTGACTTTCAAAAGTGGGTGTCTTAAGTGGGATATCTTCAAAAATATCTCCAAGCTTTTCTCTGTTATCTCAGAGTTTGTTAGCATTCACAGTTTCACCATGATTTTGAATACTTGGTACTTTGGTGATGTTATAGGTATAGGGGCTACAGCTGCTTCGATGATAACATCAGTAACAGCTTTCACTGCATCATCGACTAGCACATCATTAACAAAATCCTCTGCAAGAGAGGAGAAGAGTTTCTAGTCCACACTATCAAACATAAAACATGAGATCTTAAAACAGGATTCCTTCCTTTTCTTGGAAAAGTTACAAATATAGGAAAATGATCGCTATTGTGAGGAGAACAAATACAAGATCAAAAGCGTGAAATGTCCTTATAGGCTCATGGAAGTATGCCAAGAACCCATTATTGAAGAGACAAAGGTAACAAATGACCTTTGATCATTTCTTCTATTTGTCTATCTCAAGGATTTGTATCACTACTTCTCCAAAGTGGACTATGTCCTTTAAAGTCCCCAATAATAACAAATGGTTCTGACAGCTGCTCTATGAACTCATCCAACTCTCTCTGATTGATAGCTTCATTCAGAGGCAGATATATGGCAATTAATCCTTTTATACTAGCCTGTGTAGTAACCACTAAAGAGATGTTGCTAACAGAAGGATAGTTGATGGATAGCAAGCAAAGTGAGAAGGCCTAGAATCCATACAAACATGTTCATTAATAACATTGCCCTTTCTCATAAAAAGAATACCTCCTAAGGCTGGCTTTGCTACTAACTTTGAAAAATGTTTCCTATAAAGCAAAGCATACTGGTTGATGGACATTGATCACATTCTTGACATTCAAGAGACTCTGTTGGCTTGGAAACCATGGCAGTTCTATGAAATAAGGATGGCAATTAAGTTCAAGGTCTCATTTCAACCTCCATATCATCAGAGTTTGTACTTTCAAGTGAGCTGTGATTTCAGCTCAGGTTTTACAGTAGGACTCTTGGATTGCTTCATTGTATCATGCTGATTTTGTACGGTAATACTGTTTTCTATTGTTTATTTTAATTGCTTCTCTATTCTTTAGCACATGTATACTTGGTTTCTAATTATTCCATATTTCTGCCCTAAATCTCTCCAACAATGCTTAATTTCAGCTACATGAATTATATCAACTTTTTGCTCTAATGTTC